TTATTTATGTGGTAGATTACATAGATGGTTTTCTATGTAACCACCCTAGTAATCCTGGTATGAATCCCACTTGATGATGGTATATGATTTTTTTATATGTTGCTGAAGTCTGTTGGTTAGATTTTTGTTGAAAATTTTTGCATCTATGTTCATAAGGGGTATTGGTCTGTCATTTTCTTTTTTTGTGGTGTCTTTGTCTGGTTTAGGTATCAGGGTTATGCTGGCATCATAGAAAGAGTTCAGTAGTGTTCCTTCCTCTTCTGTGTTTTTGAAGAAATTGAGTAGGATTGGCATCAACTCTTCTCTCAATGTTTGGTAGAATTCTCCAGTGTAGCCGTCTGGTCTTATGCTTTTTTTTTTTGGCAGTTTTTTGATGACATCTTCAATCTCTTCTTTTGTAGTGGATCTGTTTACATTTTCTACTTTTGTTTGTGTTAGTTTGGGTAAGTAGTGCGTTTCTGGGAATTTGTCCATTTCATCTACGTTTTCAAATTTGTTGGAGTACAAGTTTTCATAGTAATCAGTTGTGATCTTAATCTCTTTTGGATTGGTTGTAATGTCACCAATTTCATTTCTCAGTTTGGTTATTTACCTCTTCTGGTATTCTTCTTTTGTCATTTTAGCCAGTGGTTTGTCTATTTTATTGATCCTTTCAAAGAACCAACTTCTGGTTTTGTTGATTCTTTCTATTGTTTTTCTATTTTTTTAAAATTTCTGCCCTGATCTTTATTATTTCCTTTTTTCTGGTAGCTTTTGGCTTCTTTTGCTCTTCCTTTTTTATTTGTTGAAGTTTTTGGTTTAAGTTAATGACTTTGGAACTTTCCTCTTTTTTAATTTAGGCATTTATTGCTGTAAATTTCTCCTGATTACTGCTTTTGCTGTGTCCCAAAGGTTTTGATATGTTGTATTTTCATTTTTGTTTGATTCTAAGAATTTTTTAGTATCACTTTTGATTTCTTCTATGACCTAGTAGTTTTTTTATTAGTGTATTATTTAGTTTCCAAGGCTTTTTCCCCCCCTTATTTTCCTGTTGTTGATTTCTAGCTTCATACTGTTATGGTCCAAGAAGATACTTTGTATAATTTCAATCTTTTAAAATTTGTCAAGACTTGTTTTGTGTCCTAGCATATGGTCTGTTTTGGAAAATGATCCATGTGCACTGGAGAAGTATGTGTATTGTTCTGATGCTGGGTGGAGTATTCTGTATGTCTGTTAGGTCCAATTGGCTTATGGTTTTAAGTTCTCAATGTCCTTTAAAAAAAAAACTTTTACTGTAGAGTCGATTCCAACTCATAGCGAACCTAGAGGACAGAGGAGAGGTGCCCCATGGGGTTTTCAAGGAGTGGCTGGTGGATTCAAACTGCCAACCTTTTGGTGAGCAGTTGTAGCTCTTAACCACTGTACCACTGGGGCTCCTCAATGTCCTTAGTGATCTAACATCTAAAAATGACTAACATTTAGTGCTCTGACATCTAAAAAGGAGATGAGAAGTTCAGTGTTCTTAGTGATCTTCTTTTTAGATGTTCTGTGTATAATTGAAAGCAGTATAATGAAATCCCTTACTATTATTGTGGAGTTGTCTATTTTTCCTTTCATATTAGACAGTATTTGTTTCATGCATTTTGATGTGTTGCTGCTAGGTGCACATATATTTATAATTGTTATGTCTTCCTGCTTCATTGACTGTTTTATTATTATGTAATGTCCTTCTTTATTTCTTTTAATAGATTTTGATTTAAAGTCTATTTTATGTGATACCAGTATGGCCACCCCTGTTCTTTTTTGTTTAATGGTTGTATGGAATATTTTTATCTAAAAATTTTATTTTCAGTCTGTTTGTGTCCTTATGTCTAAGGTATGTTTTCTGTAGACAGGAAAAAGATGGATCATGTTTTTAATCCATTCTGCCACTCTCTGCTTTTTGCATAAGGAGTTTAGACCACTTGCATTTAAGATTGTTACTGAAAACGAAGTGTCTACCTCACTCATTTTACTATTTGTTTTTTGAATGTTTCATTTCTTCTTTTTTTTTATTCTGTTTTTGCTTTTGTTTGTATTTGGCTGCTTTCCTTTGATGAGACTTTTTGCTTTCTCCCTTCTTCTGGGTATTTTTTCTTGATGATTTCTTAGTGGTTACCACATATATTACACAACTTATAATTGCAACAATGCTTAACACATGAACAATAGTTAACATGAAATCTAAACATAATAAGTCTAGTCCTGATATGCTCCTCCCTCCCCTGTTTCTGCTGGTGGGTCTCCATTAACATCAATATACAACCTACATTCGATAAGTGTATTTTGTGCTTATTTCTTACAAACAATATTGTATTGTTTGCAGAATTTAATTAAGTTTATTCCCTGAAAATTTCATACACTTGGTCCTTATGATTTCCTATGTTGTTGCTTGTTTTTGGAGATGTCTCTCTGTCTCTTTTATTTTTTTTATTTATTTTTCCATGTGTAGATATGAGCATTTATTTAATTTTCTTGCCTTTTCATTTGGAGTACTCCTTTGAGTAATACTTGCAAAACAGATCTGGTAGTGGCAGATATCCAGATCTTCTGTTTGTTTGGGAATGTCTTAATTTCCCCTTCATTTTTGAACAACAGCTTTACTGGGTGTCTTAGTTATCTAGTGCTGCTACAACAGAAATACCACAAGTGGATGGTTTTAATAAAGAGAAGTTTATTTCCTCATAGTCAGAGTAGGCTAAAAGTCTAAATTCAGGGCATCAGCTCCAGGGGAAGGCTTTTTCTCTCTGTCAGCCTTCTTCTCTTCAGTGCTCCCCTGGACTAGGAGCTTCTCTGCACAGGGACCCCGGTCCAAAGGATGCGCT